TGCCGTTCTCAGCGCTGTCAAAATAAAAGTCCCGCCTCGAACACATCGGCCAAACAGAAAAACTTATCGGCCGATGCCGATATTTGAAAAATGCCAAATATCCATAATAGTGCCAAATAGACCACTACTAGGGACACCCAAAGCAGTTTTTTTTTTTTTTAGCTATTTTAATCTTATAAATTATGGTTTGTCAGATTAAATGACTAAAAAAAAAAAATCTATAAACAAGTTAATTTTTTAAGCCATTTCAGTGCAAATAAAGAAATTTAGCATTGTTAAATGGCTGGAAAATGTCAAGATAAAATTTTTAAGCTATATCGCTCAGCTCTAGTACTACTACTACTACTACTACAAAAAAATAAAAAATAAAAACATGGTTGTACTATGGTAATTTTTCAGTACAATTTTGTCAGTGAATAAAAACAAAAGCTACAATAAATACAGAAGGTAAAGAGACAGACGGAGTGAATTCAGCCATACCTACAACCTCCTCTGGGTCCTTCACCACTATGTGTGCATTCAGTTCCTGAAGCTCCTGGTGCAGTTCCTCCACCTTCTTGTTGGACTTTTTAAGCATGTTGTCCACATAAGCCAGACTCTTCTTATCTGTGGTCACCTTCCTCAAGTTCTCAGCTCCTTCTTTGATCTTCAGCTCTTTGCGGATCTCTCGTTTTATCTGGTCCTTGATCTCATCCAGCTTTTGTTGGACCATGGTGTCCGAAAGGTCCAGATTTTGGCCAAGACCAAGACGTTCTGAAACCATCTGACCCCGAGTATCACCCTGAGGAGCAGGAGAGAGAAAGATATAGCAAAAATGTTTACAATTATTCGAGGCATTCAGAGACATGGAATGCATCCTGGAATGTAGCATCATTCTCAAGATGCAACGTAACGGCAAGGTCTCTGAATAAGTGGTCTGCATTGTGCGAGTAATATCCTTCTATGCTGCAGAATGATGGAAATTCACTTTCACATACACGCTGGTGTGTATGATCCGATTCAGGTTGTTATGCAACGGAATAAAGCACCAGCTAATCAGCTTGAGGAGGCCCAGAGATCTCACAAGAACAATGCAACACCTTCAGACAAGCACAAGGGTCTGTGACAGTGTACACGATAAAAAAAGCACTTTTATACCATTTTCAATAAAAGTTTAATTTGTAATTACTCTAAAAATATCATGTGGTGTAACCATCAAGCCAAAAATAACTTATTTTCCTTACACCTTAAAATACATGTGAGCATACATACGCATTATAAAAAAATGTTTTTTTTACATTTATTATATTTATGTATTTATTTTTGTATTTATATATTTATGTATAATATTTATGTATTTATATTTACTGTTACCTGTCAAATTACCTTTGTTTTTTTTAGAGACAGGAAACAATTGGAAAAAAGTGAGGAGAATGGGATCAAGAAAGGATCATGAGGCAGGACTTAATTTCAGTGCTTCTTGAAGCGCAATTGTGCCATATATCTGCCCACAAGGTTATGGCGTCGGCCCAACAAATATATGAGCAATATCACTCGAGTACGAGAGTGATACCGGCTCTATATCAGCATGGCTGTGATTAGGCCGAAGGCAATCACAGCCGCTGATATAGAGCCGGTATCGCTCGAGTACGAGAGTGATTTGCGTTTATAAAACAGTTTGACGGAACATAAACGGAGTGCCTAATAAAACCCTCTTTTGTGCGGAACTACTTCCTTCCGCCACGGATTCAAAGCTCAAGTTGACAGTTAAACATACGTCACTTTTAGAATTCGTATCAAGGGCATGTGCTGCTTCAGTTAGGTTATTAGTGAGAAATAATGAGGTTATAAGAGAGATCGAGTACGAGAGCGATACCGGCTCTATATCAGCATGGCTGTGATTAGGCCATTAGGCCGAAGGCAATCACAGCCGCTGATATAGAGCCGGTATCGCTCGAGTACGAGAGTGATTTGCGTTTATAAAACAGTTTGACGGAACATAAACGGAGTGCCTAATAAAACAATATATATATATTTTAATTTTAAGGGACTTATTGACATGATGAACAGTCATCATGAAGGTTTGCTAGGGTCCTCTGTATGATGTAATTTTTATGATTTTTATTTTATTTTATTTTTCCTGAATGAACCACATGACTTTGATTTGGGCAAAGTTATTTTTTTTTTTTTTTATAAAAATGTGAAATTATCTGCCTTTGGCTTGCTCAGTTGGGACTTAAGACAACTAATATTCAGAAAATATTGTCAGTCTCACTGTACTGACACTATCAGATGTGAACACAAAAATTTGAACTAAACAGAGCTGGATAATGAAACCAATGTCTCCTGTAGAGCTGCATTTGAGGTCGTTTCATAATTGATTAATTCAGCCATACTAACAGTGAACTGAACTGAATCAAACTGAATCAGAATTGAGCTAATTAATGTCACTATTGTCTTCTGCAGAACTGCTTTACAGCTGAAAATGAAGTGTTTCAAAATAGATTAATTTTGCAGTATTAATACTTTTATTGTCATTTATTACTGTAAAGCTGCTTTGAAACAATCTGTATTGTATAAAGCGCTATTATATAAATCAGTGGTCCCCAAACTTTTTGCAGCGTTCACCCCTTTCTAGTGTTTGACACAAGCACCCCCACCACCTTACTCAATTAAACACCACATTTTTAACTGCAATAATACAAATAATATTCACTGTATACAGGGCTTGACTACCTTTTTTGCTCATCAGTCACTGTGACTAGGGGTTTTCCAAAATTAGCCCCTCAGTATTTTCAATGGCCACAATTTTGTTGTTGGGAAATTGTTTTATACAGAAATAATCTTAAGTTTTATTTTTTTTAGTTTACATACTAAAATGTATTTAAATTGATTTCCAGATCTTTTTTTTGCCTATTGAAAGGGCATTTTTCCCTTAAATGAATGCGTCATATCTTTCATCTCAAATTCTTACATATTAATAATTTCAGCATAAATAATAAATAATGCTTTTTAATAATCATAAAGCTTGGTGTTTTAAATCAGTTATTTTTTTAATATACAAATGTGAAATGTTGGGGAAAAAATGCAAAAATAAGCTACTTTTAAATATGAAAGTAAACCGGCAGTAGGTGACAGCAAGTGACTGTCTTACTGAGTGAGTCATTGAGGCGTTCATTCAAGCGATTCGTTTAGACGACTGATTCATTCAAGTGAAGCAAGTGCCTGTCTTTATGAATGGACCATCATTGACTCAAATGATCAATTCAAAAACGCTGAATCATTCAGTAAGGAAACAACGCTGTGTGTTGCTCAGAGATGCGCGACTGACTGTTCTGCTGTGATCTTTGTTTGGAACTATTTTCGTTAACCAAAAATTGAGCAAAAACAGTCAACATTGATAATATTGTACTAAAATGTAGTCCACTTAATATTAAAGTGCCCCTATTATGGGTTATGAAAGGTTCATATTTTGGTTTTGGGAGTCCCCAACAACAGGTTGACATGCATGTAAGGTCAAAAAACACTCTCATTGCCTTATATTATGCATTTATTTTGACCTTACTTGCTCAACGACTCCCAAACGATTCGTTTAACGATTAATTTTTCCAAACCACTCCTTTGCGTGACGGTAATCTGCGGTGATTGGTCCGAAGTGCTGCTTTGTGTACAGCGTTACCGGGGAAACCGGTATTTTTACCGCTCCAAAAGTGGCACCTAGTGGCAAAGAATGAATTTGTATTTTCATTCAGACCAAGTCTTCAAGTTTTCCCGGGTTTGCGTGCGCAACAAGTGGGCGGGCAATATGCTGTTTCATGTTGACATCAACGAAACGGCTTAGGATTCATTTTAAAAACGACTCGTTTCAATGATTCAGAGTTGACTCTTTCTTTTGAGAGACAATAACTTTATACACGGTGCCCTTCTAGATTTAAAACTTTGCAGGATGTTTTCATTCATTTAGAGCTGTATTACACACTGCATGAAAGGTAATTTTAAAAAATCCATAATAGGGGCACTTTAACTACTTGATTGAACTCTTGTATAAAATCAATGTCAAATTTACAATCGTGGTTTTCAGGGAAAACTGCACTCTCCTTGTCATGTCATATGTTATAAATATAAAAACTACATATTTACTGCATTATGTTTCTTTTGTGTGCAGTTATGTTCATTTGTTTTGATTTCTCCACAAGATTCTCTCACACACAGACAGGCTGCGCAAGCCTCAACTGGCGCAACCTTGTTATAGTCAATACATTATCCTTTATAAAATCGCCGTTTACACTAAATGTAATAAAATCAGAATCATTGATTGTGCTTCCCTAATTAGATGTTTTAATCAGATTAGTTGTCCGGTGGGGCAAGTAAAATTCTCTTTCACTTGCCCCTTCAAAATATCCACTTGTCCCAGACAAGCATTAATGTCGAGCTCTGTTATTGAATTCATCCCGTCAAAGTGGGAGTGACCACAGGGCTGTACGTTAACTTTTTTTTCACATAGCACTGGTGCTACAGAGGTTGAAAGTTTTGTAGCACAGGCCAAAAAGTTGTAGCACAAGTATAAAATGTCTGTTATCATGTCTGAAACAAACACAAGTAATGGAGTTCATCACTTAAACAGGCATTGATGTTCCATACAGAGCACAAAAAATACAAACCATCACGAAAATTGTTTTTAGACAAAGTTTTCTTAATTTGCTAAAAATGGAAGAGTGCAGAAACATAACACCTCTTACACATTTACAAAATAAAAAAGAATGGCAGACATTTAGGCCAAAGTAAGCAAAGATAGGGCTGTCGCGATAACCGCAATATCGCAATACCACGCTATTGACGAGCAAACCGCAGAGGAATGCAAGAACCGCAGCAACCACGATTTTTGCGTGTTTTCTTTTTTCGTAAGGTTATGCCCTTCTCGTTTTACACTTTGTTGCGTTTGTTTGTTACACTTTGTTTGTTACACTTGTTTTTTACACATTGTTACGATAAGTTGATAACATCAACTTACCGTATCTTTTTACATAACCTCTCTGTTTCAGACCCCAGTAAACGAACACATACATTGGTCAGGCATGACAGAATGCTTTCAGCACAATCAAACTCGATGCATCACTGAACACTAACTCAATGCATTATCAAACAACACTTGTGTGAGAACACAACA